TACAGGGGTTACCTGTTTAACTACTATGTTATACTATTTCTACCCTTGTAAAGTTTACCCAAACCCTGATACCTATCCTTCTGACTTCTTCTTTTTATCTCTCTATTATCCAACTCAGAATCCGATAGACTCTCCAGACTCTCAATCCAGATAGCCTGATATGATATACCTTGGTATTTTTTTTCTCTGGTGATTCTGATAGCCTGGTTGGTCATATGCTCCTCTACATATCTTTTCATCTGGTTGCATGTCTGCCTATTCCTTATTAGGGTTTTCTGGAATTCCATTAGTCTGATAACACCATCGAAGGCTTGTACTACTTTTTACTCTAGAATTTCCAAGTAGGTTTCTATCTTCTCAGTTTCTTGGTCTTCTACATTTAGTAATATTCTTCTATATATGTGTAATGTTATACTTTGTATAAATGCTCTAGGCTCCTAATGACAAGTAGAACCTAATTGGTTGTACTCAAGATTACAGATACCTAAATTCAACCGATCGACAAGAGACAGTTCACTATAACATAGGTTAATTACCAAATTTCATCATAAGTAGAATTTGAACCTTAGATCTGTTACTTGAAGGATGACAACCCAACCACTATACTAGGATCACCATCCTCTTATAAATTATTTTATTAGTTAATTGCCTATTTAATAGATAACATTTATTTTATTAGTAGATTTCTTATAATATTTTATTCTAGCTAATAGTTGTTTAAATATTTAAAATAATATTTGTTTAATATTACAAAGATTCTGATAAAGAATTCAAATTATATTCTAGATGCTTTAAGTGCTTCAGAGCACTCTAAAATGATGAACCAATTAATTTAATTATAGTTAATTAATATTTATTAATTATAATATAATATTTACTATAGTGTTACTATATAGGATCTTTGCTAGCAAAATAACCTTATAAGCTATTATTATATAGGATTTTTATTAAAAAAATCATAGTAAATCTATTTTTAGAAAAAAATTTTGCTAATAAAGATCCTATATATTTTTTATATACTACTGTAGTTATTTTTAGTTGTGTTTAGAACAACACCTATAAGGAAGTTTTTAAATATTAAATAATTATAAAGAGTTTTGTAGATAAACATATAGATTATACAATTATATATATTTTATTTTTTAATTAATATATAAGTTATTATATAATAGAGCATTAGACATTGGTAAAAATAGAAAGATACAGCAGTAATTTATTATTTGTGCACAAATATTATTAATAAAATGCATATAAAATTTTTTAATTTCTAATATATTTTAAATGTTCATATGTTTCAGAATGATATTACAATATATAGTAATTTAAAACTAATTAATTATTAGATTAAAATCTATAAAAAGAGTAATTTTTTGATTTTTTAAAAGGACAGTTTTTTTGAAAGTTTTTAAAATTATATTTTTTATATACAAAAAACTTCTTATAATTATTATTTTATTTAAAAACATTTTAATAAAATAATATTTTAAATATTATTCTTTGAATATTATTAATAAAAACTATTTTCTATTTTATTTTTTATTTTATTATTTTTTATAATTTATTTTTGTTTATTTTATTTATTTATTTTTTTATAATAATATAAAGTAAAAAACTGAGTTTTTTAATTAGTTACTTGATAAATATTAGTTTAATATTATTAAAATTTAAAGGTTATATATAGCTATTAATAGTCTAATTATTCAGCCTTATTTTCTCTGATTATACTTTAAAGATAATTTTAAGTCTAAAAGTTTAATAATTCTTATACAGAATAAATATTTTATTATATCCAATCTATATATATTAAACAGTAGAATTTGGGTAAAAAACTGATTTTATTGTTATATCTTATAGTATCTAGAAGACTATTAAATTTAAATTCTATTTTTTAAATATTTATTTTTCATTTTATTAATTTTTTTTAAACAAGATGTTTTACTTAGCACTTGTGTTATTTAAAGTTTACTACAGCTTGTTAGTTTTTAGTAAATTTTATTACAATATTAGAAAATTTTTAAAAAAGATTAATATTGATAACAAACTACATAATAATTGTAATTAATTTATATCAATTATAATTGATTGCAATTACTTAAAAAAATAATTATTTTTAATAATTATTAATTATAATTATTTTTTTAAATAATTATAATTAATTATAATTAATATAAATTAATTATAATTACTTTGTAATATATAATTTAAATTTTTTAAAAAATTTTTTAATAAATAAATAATTAAGTATATAAGTAAATAATTAGACATCTTAAGAATAATATGAATAGTTGGATAGCTTAATAAATAAATAAATAGTTAAATAATTTAATAAATAAATAAATAGTTAAATGCCTTAATGATAAATAAATAATTAGATATTTAATAATAGATAGATAGATAAATGTTTTAATAAATAGGTAAATAGTTAAGTATTTTAATAAATAATTAAGTAAATAAGTAGTTAAATATCTATTAATAAAATTAATAAATAAGTAAATAGTTAAATGTTTTTACAAATATGTAGTATATCTTTATAGTCAGATAGGTAAATAGGTAAATAGTTAAATGTTTCTATAAGGTAGTATCTTTGCAAGTAAATTTTTTATATATAAACAAATAGATAAATAAATATCTTAATAATTATATTATATAATAATTATAACAATTTTTAATAAATTATAGTATAATATTATAAATTAAATTGCAATCTTTTATCTTAATTATTTTAACTTTTATTAATTTAAATTGAATAATATTTTTTATTTGAAAGTATTATTTCTTTTTTATAAAATAAAAAAATTATAATAAATTAATAATAATTAAAAAAATTAGGTTAAAAGATTAAATTATAAAATTTGAATAAGTTTAGTACTTATTAGTAGTAAATTTTACAACTAATTAAAATTAAAGATCAGATGTAACATGTAAAACAATTTTATATAACAAAAGTAAAGAATGTTAAAAAATAATTAATAGCTCAAAATTTTATATATAAAACTATCTTTAATGCTCTAGTAAAAAAAATTTTTTGCAAATTTACTATAAATAATATTCTTATTTTAATCTAATCTTTAAGTTAACTTTAATAATTAATAGGTTTATTTTTGATTTATAAAGATTAGTTTGATTTTAATTATATATAAACAATTACTGATAAAAATTCATTATTGGTAAATTTTAAATAAATTTATAAAATTTTTATTTTTGTTAATTTTTAATTAATTATTAATTAAAATTATATAAAACTTATACAGTAAATAGAAAAATCTTTTTTTTAAAAAATAATAAATGTTATTAAAATTAGATTAATATTTATTAAAATATTTATATAAAAACACAAACACTTAACAAATTTATTAAAATCCTAAAAGTAAAGTTAAATAATTTACTAATTATACAAGTACATGTTTGATTTAAAAAAAAATATGAATTTATATAAACAAATTAAGAACATAAATCAATTAATCAAATTCTTAGATGTAAAAATATTTTTGTCACCTTTCTGTATATATATATATATATTAAATTGCATAGTGTAAATAAATTACAAACCAAATAAAAAGGTTTAGAATGTTTAAAAAATGATTAACATCTAACTTATAAATTACCTTACTAATTATCAAATTACTTTACTATTATGTAAAGAAGATATAATTTCTAAATTTTATATTACAACCTCTGTGAATTTATATTCACGGTTGTGAATTGATTCTTGTAATTCCCTTAACAGAAAATCATTGCTTTAATAATACTTTAGTATAATGAGATAATCTACAAAAATCAGCCAATCATAATAAAAATTTGCTATTTTCACTAAACCTATCTGAAGTAATATTAGCATCGATCTTGAGCTTCTGGTAATATTTTTTCTTATAGAATCTATTATGTACAAATAAAAGGTCTTGCATTTTATCTTGCAAAAAAGTAGAAGATTATTAAATGTTATTTATTCATATCTGCATCATGTAATAGCAATGTATTTTTTTTATTAGTTTGTCATAATGTTGTTCAGCAACAATTATTATGAAATAAATAAGGGATCCCATGCCCTCGACATTTTTTATTTTTACCGATTTTTTACAATGTAGTTTGCGATTATTAATTAGTGAAAACTATTGAGTTAACTTTATGGTTCAGTCTCGTGCGTGTGACAATTTGTCAAACTGATCACTTTTACCAAGAAATATCTCGATCATATGCGAGTTAATATACATTATTATCAATCAATAAAATAAATTCACTCATATATATGAAAAGTAAACTAATTGTGTATGCGAAAGTAGCTACCAGGCCAGCTTATTATATAAAAATTAGAAAATACAATCCCCAAAAATGTATGCAGATATAAAAATAAAAAAATAAAAAATAAAATCGACAGAATGGGAAGTTGGAATTAAATCTGTCTATCTAAAAGATGCTTTTATAGAACTTGATATGCAGAATTTTTTTATTCAATTGAGATGATCATTACCAAATCTGAACTTGTCCACCATACTCTAAATAAATTCAAGTTCCCTTACGCGAGCATAGGCAAAGTTCGTTATGATTGGTTGTTTATTTTTATTTAAAAAATACTGTTACACAAATTTTTTATATTGTTTATAATAGAAATTTCAACTTTTTTTATAATTAATATGGCTTAAAATTTCGTCTTATTGTACTTTAAAAACCCAACTTTCATATTCGCGTTTGACATCCAGTCGGATCCAGTTGTTCCGCCAACTTGTCTTAGGAGCGATTCTGGCAATACAAGCATGTAACACAAAGCTAGTATATTATTTTTTAATTTTTAGAACGAAGCGACTAGTAAAAATCATTGGTTTTTTTTTAATATTTTTTTCGATCATGTGAAATTATCCAATAACAAATCACGCATTAGTGTAACGTAACACGATCAGGAAGATATATCAACCTATATCGGGAATGATTTTTAATTTTAGCCAATCAAACTTCTTGCTGATCAGCCAACTTAACCTATACTCCTTACGCGTAGTTCTCTCAAAATGTCTACACTATCATTTGATGGATGGCAAACTGCATTAAAACCCGAAAATTTAACTTTACTGCCCCTCCTAAGCTTTCGTCGGACAAAAGATGATTTTACTTACGATAGCTGTAAAGAACATTTTGCGATATCAAAATTTTTGGAAAACCTTAACTTCGATACTACTGATCAGCAATGGGTTATCGCGGCTGAAAGTATTTCAGTAAAGGTAATAGAATTTATTACTGTAATATCAAAAGAAACAGGAAGATTAGAAGTCGGACTACGTGTTGATGCAACCGCCTAAGCAATCGAGTACGTCTCGGGTTGTTATGGAGTACGACTTCGGCAGGCTTCTTAATCTTCGAGATAAGTTATATGAAGTTGGACTACGTGTCAAAACAACCACCTAATCAACTTGAGTGCGTCTCGGATTAGTTAAGGAGTACGTCTCTGGTGGGCTTCATACTACAACCAAACAATAAATATTCCTTTTAAACCTTTCCTTTTTCCAAACAACTTCCATTAAGCAACAAGTACGATCAGAAGAAGTTAAAAAATTCTGGCTTGATATTGATCTGGAAAAGGCTGAGTCTGAACGGAAATTAGCAGGGATTATTCTGGAGCAGAAGGAAATTGAGTTAAAACAAAAAGAAGTGGACATAAAATTATCCAAAGTATGTATTATATATATATTGGATATTGAATTTTGTAGAAGCTTATTAATTTTTGGGGGTTTTTTTCTGGTTTTGTTTTACAGGCTGAATTCGTAATAGAACATTCTAAGGCAGGGAATAAAGGACAGTTTATTAAATGATCAAAAATTAAAATATGCCGAAAACCTTGTTAACGATAAAGAAACAGAATTGGTAGGTCCTTAATAGTCTTTCTCATTATGTTAGTCACGATACAGAACTTATATTTTCATAAGAAGAGAAACCTTATTTGAAGAAATCTACAAAGAGGAAACCTGTATGTTCTAATGGTAATTTGACCGAGACCGAGGACAATGAAGTAAGTAGACATTATGTGATTATTATACGACTATTGTTACTAACTAGATTGCGTTCTTCATAAAAGTACTTTCCTGATGACAATGATCTTGATCCAGAGTCTTTCAACTCCACATTAGATCGTAATAATAAGAAGGCAGTAGCTAGCATCAATGCAAGAAGTAACGATATTATAAATTAACATTAAAAAAATATATATTTATAAAATTTAGCAAAAAACTGATAACGGAAAAAACAATGCAAATATAAAGGTACTAATATTGTAGGTTAATTTTAGATTTCTGGATTTAAGTATAATAATACATACAAATCAGAATTTCGACAGAAACAATAAGTTGAATTGTTAAAGCTGCTAATATAATATAACTATAAATAAATAAATAGAGTAATTTTACAGTTGACCTTTAACTACATTTGATATTCTTTGTGTGTTGATAAGTTTTCTAGTATACATGAAGTCCGGATGTTTTGGTAAAGGAATTGGCAATTCTTTGACTGCTTTATCTGCTTCTAAAAATTGATTTTTAATTTCTACATCATCTGAACTTTTTATGATAAAAATACTGTCAGCATCAGGCCGTTTTTCTGGATTAGGATTCATGCATTGCTTAGCAAATTCGATATAGCAATCTGGAGTTCAGAAACAAATTCAGGCCCAATCCACAGCAAATATTTACCACAGGTTTATCATCAAATTCGTATCCATCAAAAGGTCTTTGAATAAGTAGATTTAACTTACTTCTTTTAAAGAACCAACCTAAGTTTTGAGTGCTATTATGCTGGATGCTTCATGTAATTTTTTATAGGAATAGTTGTCATTAATTTGAATTTTTTCAATTTTTCGCTTACAATCCAACCATTTTGCTGAATATACAAAGCTTTACCAAATTGCATTTATATCAGATAATGTGTTAAATGGAATCCATTCGATTACTTCATTATATCTCCTGGTTCTAAGTTGGTACCTTTTCATACAATCATCAATATCATTTTTTCCACTTGTCCATCTTGTTTCTATATCAGGGTAGCAGTTATATTCATTACAATGTGCACATTTTTCATATTTTGAGTTACTAAATAATTATAATATATGATCTATAGTATTTTATTTAATTACCATGCTATTATAAGGTTATATCGAATGTAAATAAATTTTATACCTACCGACTAAATTAATGCGAATGAGGGTATTACATAATAGTAATGGTGAATAGGTATTTGTGTTCTTGATTTGTGAACTTGTTTTACTGTTTTTAATTCCAATGATTAATAAATGTTCTTTATGCTTACTCACTGAATGAATGATTACTGCAAATGAAATAATTTGAAGGATATTACATAATAGTAATAGTAAATAAGTATTTATGTTGCTTTGTAATTTTTAATTCCAATGATTAATAAATGTTCTTTATATGCATCCATTGAATGAATGATTAATGCAAATGAAATAATTTGAAGGGTATTACATAATAAATAAGCATTTCTGTTCTTGATTTATGAACTTGCTTTGCTGTTTTTAATTCTAATGATTAATAAATGTTTTTTATACTCACTGACTAATTGAAGGGTATTATATGCTGTTTGGAGTGGGATTTGTCTGCAAAATTTTAAGTTTGATTGGTCCACGTGATTTATTCATCAAAATTTTGGTTATTTTTCGGAAAAATATACCTGCCACAGTATACACATGATTTTGTGCACAGCAAAATGGCCAGCATTAAACTAATAGCATGGTCGACATTAAGGTTAGGATTGGCGATTAGGTCTAGCGGAATTAGTCACGTGTATGCTGTGTCGGTATATCTTCCCTATTTTTCACATATGAATTCATCACGCACATGCGGTGATGTTAGACTTATAAACATTTTTTACACGTTAACCAATCAAACATACTTTGTTATTATTTATTTACATGTTTACTTCATAATAAACTTTTATCTATATACACTATTGTTATTATTATTATTTTTTTGGTGTTAAGGTGACCTCTTTAGTCTTTTGACTTTTATTAATTACTTATTGGTATTGTGGTTCAATGAATCACTACAGGAGAGCATACAATTGGTTACACATATAACTTTTCTATATTACCTATTTAAGGAGTTCACCTGAAGGTTCCCTACCAATTACTATATCTAACATCTCTGCTTGGGTGTTCTACTTTAAACTCTTTGAACCTATAAACTGTGTTAACTCATTGGGTCATATCCAGATGCTCAGATTATCATATTAAGCTTAGGACTAATTTATTCTATATACATCATTATTATTATTTATTTATTATTATTATTTATTATTATTTTTAATACAAACCAGTTCTCTATCTTATATTGAAATACGAATATTGATTTAGAACATAATTACTATTACCTACTCCCAGATTTAGACTGCACATTATGTATCAGATATTATCTTAACTCAAATAGAATTAAGCAAACATATACAATTAACATTTTAGTAACTATCTATACTAGCTTTTTAGGAAGAAAACCTTCTAAATTCAAATTCAATGTTAACTATTTGGATCTTATTTATTCAACAACAATTAAACATCCTTTATGAATTCTTTATAACTATCCTATTATCAATATATCAAATTCAACTATTACAGAAATCTTTAAACCCAATGATTGTTTAAACAAACTTGAAGAAATTTTCCAAAACAATTTATCTTATAAGAAATTTAGTTTCTACACAAATGGATCAGTAACTGATATTGGAACTGAACAAAACTCAATAATTATTGAATATGTTCAAATTGATAGTAACAACCAAGTTTTTTATAAATTTTTAGCTAAAATTCATCTTTGGTTATCAGCTTATAAGACAGAACTCTTTTCTATCCTATCTACTATCTCAACTGTACCTCATAATACAATACTTCAAATTTATACTAACTTATAATCAATCATATCTAAATATTATAAACTTTCTATACAACTCAATAATTCTAACAAATTTTTTTAAATTTAATATATAGTTATTTTGGTATACACTTCTTAATTTCATCAAATCCTTCAATTTAAATATCAACTTTCATAAAGTTTAAGTTCATATAAATAATACCTTTAATAACATGCCTGACTTCTTAGCAAAACAATATATCTTCTTCTTGTCTTTAAACTTTCAATATACAAATATTTATAACTCTTTTCATATCTTATAATAAGAACAAAGTTTTGTTGAGCTTCCTATCTGATACTTTATCAAAAATATTTACAAAACTCATATATTGACAATGTGGTCTGTACAAAAAATAAACAATGAATGGTCTCATATTAATCACTACATAGACTGGTAATCAACATGGCTATATCTTAATCATAACCAAAAACCCTCATCTAATTTTGCTAGTTTTAAACTCAATCAATCCAAAGTCTTTAAAATCAAAGCTCTACAGAATGAATTACCAATATACTTTTCTTTTCATAACATTTATCCAACTATTTTTATAAATACTAACTGCTTCTGATATAACCTTTTTGACTCTCACTCACACTAGCTAACTTGTCTCAACTCTTCTCTTATAACAAACATTATTAATTCATCAATTCAATATATTTTATTTAAAGCAGATTTTGACTTATCTACTAGCTAACTTTATAAACTTATTTGAAAAGTTCAAAAACATCCTTTCTTTAACAAATATTATTTCAAACAAACTCTTTCTATCTGGATCTTATTTTTAAAGGCCTTATACCCAAAGGTTTAATTGAAACAATTTATAACTACAATATACTAACTAAGATAGCTTCACAAATTATTATTTTAATACTGCTTGATATTAATAATTAAATTAACAATCAAATATAGAAACTATACTGCATTGATCTCTTTAACTGAAAAAAGAATAACAATATTACATCTCTTCAAACTTATAATATTTACAATACTTTACAACAGATACAACAAACTAGATATTATAAAAGATCACATACAAACTATACATACTCATGTTTATGTAGAATATCAGATCAATTACACTTACATTCTAATACTTATCTACCAATTAGATAGGCTATTAGAAAAATTATATATAGTCAATATTTTGGATTAATTATAGTACATCTTATAATCATATTTTAACATTAAAAATCTAGGTGGGTCTTGACTACCATAGTCAGTTTAGGTTGTAAATAATATTGTTTGAACTTTAATTCTTGTATGTAGTTTTTATTTTGTATTTTATAATCTTAGTATATCTTTAATATATAGTATATTAATATGTATAACTAAAATTACTAATAAAAATATAAGCAAGGCCTTACCTTAATATCAAAAAAAAAATTATTTATTATTATTAATTTTATTATTATTATTTTTTTTTATTATTATTTTTTTTTATTATTTATTATTATTATTATTTTTTATTATTATTTTTTTTATTTTTTTATTTTTATTATTATTATATTTTATTATTTTTTACTATTTTTTTTTATTATTTTTTATTTATTTTTTTTTAACTCTTTGGCAGTTTTGCTAAAATCCTTTATTAAGAGAATTGCATACATGATTATATAAATATCAACTTAATTTTTCGGTTTGACATCTTTCAGTTACTATGTTAGTATTTAGAAGCAATTTGCTATACTAAAATAAGGTTATGCTCACTACTAGAGAGCTATTCAGGCTAGTCTTTGAGGCCATTTCAATAAGGCCTCTTGTTATTACTAATTAATTTTCTAATCATATTTCTCTATATGTTTTTTATGTTTTTATTTTTTGTTTCTTTTTCTTTCTTTATATGTTTTATTTTTCCTAAGTTTTTATCTCTTGATCTTGGTAAAACTTTATATGATACTTTGTTTTGTTATTTTATTGCTTTATTTTTGTTTTTTTTTTTCTTTGGCTTTTTTTTTATTCAGATACTTTATTGCATCTTTCTTTCTAAATTTTTTGTAGAACTTATTTCATATAGTATCTATTATACTCATTAAGAAATTTCTTATTTCTTGTACTGAGATCAAGATATTTTGTATCTTTTCTACTAAGTTTTCTTGTAGAAGATCTTTAATAAGCTTTTTTTTTACTTCAATGCTTTCTTTTTCTGTTTAGTCTCAGATTGCTTTTTTTAATTGTATTTGAATGATACTCTTTTTTTTTCTTCTGAAAGTGTACTCTATGCAATTGCTATTGTCAATATTTTTGCCTTTATCTAATAGTTTTTATAAAAGGAACATA